TATTCAATTCTGTATACAGTAGGATTTGAACCCTAGACCTCTTGCATAGCAGTCTGGCAACCTAACTACTATACTAAGATCGCTAGACTTGCCAGAGGGTTTAAATAGATAATCTTCAAATAGATTTTAGATATAGTAGCTAGTGTAGAACCTTTGAGCAAACTACTTAAATTAGATAATCTAAAGTTGTACATATAGCTAGTTGTACTCTTATAATATATATCATTTACTCACTATTAATACTAATAAAAGTTTCAGCTAATAGTATTTGTATAAAGTAAAAAAAAAAAAAAAAAAAAAAAAAAAAAGAGTATAACTTGTATAAACTACTATATATTCATTATTATAATTATCCTTTTGTAATAGAATAGTATTTAGTTCTTGATATAAAGTATTAGTATAAAGAATAAAAAGTTTTTCAAAATCAAAATACTGCAGGATTAAAGCAGTAATTAATTTTTTCTTTAAAATATCTATAGTTTCCTAATATAAATTAGTCTAGTTATATATAATATCTTTTTTTAATAATTTGTTCAAGGGTTTAGTTATATGAGCAAAATTTGAAATAAACTGTTAATAATAAGAAGCAAAGCCAATAAATTCTCTAAATTTAGTAAGATTTCTTAGTATAAGAAAATTTTTAACTTTTTCAACCTTAGTAGAATCAGGTATAATTCTATTTTCTCTAATTATATACTCTAAAAAAGTAAGTTTTTGTTTTTCAAAATGATATTTATCCTTTCTAAGCTTAAAACTAGCTTGTTTTAAATAAGAAAAAACTTCAGAAATATGTTCAAGATGTTGTTTTAAGGTTGAAGAGTAGATAGTAATATCATTTAAATATTTCAAAATATATTTTTCTTTTAGATCAGCAAAGAGTTTATCTATTACTTGTTAGAATGTAGCAGGAATATTAGTTAATCTAAAAGGTATTATATTAAATTTATAAAATCCAAATTTTATAATAAAAGCAGTTTTTTCATAATCTTTAGACTTTGCTAATATCTATTAGCTAAATTAAAAGTAGAAAACTATTTAGCTTCTTTAAGAGTATCTAAAATTTTATCAATTCAGAGTAGAGAATAAACATTTCTTTTAGTTATTTTGTTTAGTTTTTAATAGTTAATACAAAGATGAAGTTTTTCATTTTTTTTTTGACTAAAACAACCAAAGACTTTTGAATAGAGAAATTAAGTTATTATTAAGTATTACTTGTAATAAATTTATATTTAAGGTCTGGCGATCTTAGTGTAGTAGTTAGGTTGCCAGACCACCATACAAGAGGTCTGGGGTTCAAATCCCACTGTCGACGAATTTGAATAATTATCTGGACCTTTGTACCTAACTTACGATAAACTCTGTTTATTTCTGGAGTTGTAACCCTGTAAGTTAAGTTGCACCAAGTCAATCAGATATTGGTAGTGTAGCGGCAGTTAATCACAGGATGATATGCACACAGGAATAAATCTTAATAGGAAAAAACATTGTGTGGTGGCAGTTAATTACAGGATGATATACATACATAATAATATACGAGCAAAGGATCTACATGGTAGAAATCCTGAGTTGGTGAAGTAGTACAGCTTTTGACAGTTATACTTGATCCAAAAAGGAAACTATTGTTAAAAATGCTGATCGAGTTGGGTGCGCATAAATCTGTTTCACAAGGAGAATCAGTAACACCAACCTAGCTTGGCAGCTAACTAGATTGGGAGGATCTGTCTTGTGAAACATCTAAGAAGATAGACACAGAAAACTGGTAGAGAGCTACGGAAGAAACCAGGGTTATACAAATATCTACAAGGGTCTAAGTTAGATGAGTTCATGAAATGGGTATGGGCCGCTCTAGTAGGTTTGCTTCGAGATTAACTGAAGCTCTGTATGCTCACAATTTGATGAGCAACATGCATCCTGAGAGGACCTAAGCTGGTGTCAAAAAATAGATCTGTAACAAGCTAGCTGGCATATATGGTTAGGTATTACAGTGATATTAGTTTGTAATAGGAATAGGTTAGTTGAACAGAGTGTTTAAATAGGTAACTCACAGGCGGGTTGCAGGTATAGCAGCATAGTGTAGTATTAACAGGTGGTCTAACGCCTGCATAGCGAACTACTTAAATTAGACAATGACTAAAGTTGTACATGTGGCTTGTTGTACACTCTTCATATAACTGAAAACTGTAGGGGAACCCCATGTAGGACCTCATATATCAAATTAATAAAAATCGCCTGGCAATGTAAGCCACCTTAAAAATCAAAAAAAAAAAAAAAAAAATGAAAAAGCTTGAATCCATTGGACAGAAACTTGAAGATGATATAATTATCATGGCTCCGACAAAGGAAATTACGACAGTTGATAAATTCGAAGAGACACCTACTGTTGTTATTAATTCCGTAGGATCAGATGAAAATATGTAAGCGACATAAATAATAATAATAATAATATCCATTATATGAAGTTACATTATTTTATTAAATATATTTTATATTTAGCACAATTACTCGTATAAAATGTTCAAAAGACAAAACTTCCTCTTCTGCTGATTCAGATACAGATGGTTCAGTGGATCTAGATGCTCTCATAGCCGAAGGCAGTGATTTAGAATCTAGTGCGATTCATTTGAACGATGATGGTTTGGACGATGGTGATGATAACTTTTGGAAAATTGACCCAGCAGAGGTACATATTCGTAAGTTCATGGAAAATAGGTTATATTTTCTTATCTACAATTTATAATTTTAAATTTTAGCTTGAAAGACATTTGTCTCCATCGACCACTCCCTTACGTCGTCCATCACCAGACCCACAAAGTATACCATCTTTGGTTTCTTTGGCGATGTCTACTAGACCAGTCAGTATGATCGCAGAAGAAGAAGAAGAATTAAGTGATACACCTCTAGAAGTTGACGGGCAAGAAGCTGATGATATTTTAAATACATTTTCTAATTCCAACGGATTTCATGTAAGATTTATTAATATTTTATGTATATATATATATATATATATTTTTTTTAATATTGTTTTTTTATTAAAATTTATTGTGAATGGTACAGATTGACGATGAGGAGCATCAGATTGACATGTCATTAGACACACAAATTACCCCAATTTTGAAGCCAATATCACCTTCTCCAGCGCCTTCACCTTCTCCAACACTTTCAGGAGGAAAATCCGGAATTCCTACAGGATTACCGAAGACTGCTTTCAGTCCACACTTTGGTCCGTCTCCTCTTTCACCTACTTCATCCAGAGCCTCATCGGTTGCAGATCCAGATGAATATGAAACAATGTCAAATGGATCATATACTTCAGTTCGTTCGGCAGGAAGTGCAAAATCTGCAACATCAGGAATACGGAGGCCGTCAAATACTTCAGGACTTCGTGCACCTAGTCGAGCAGGTTCTCATGTTTCATCACCTTCAAGAATGGTTCTTCCAAGTAGGGTTGATTCACATACATCAATCCCACCTCCAGGGCGACAAAGATCACTGAGTATTGTAAGTAACAGTTCCACTGAAGAGAGTACTACTTCTTCAGTGGGTGCCGCATCGCCTTCACGGATTGCTTCTCCAACTCGTGGGGTCCGCATATATAATCCCATGTCACAAACTATAACAGGAGGTGGTACTCGTCCAAGATCTGTAAGCCGCATAAGCAATAGTTCAGCAGAATCATCTGCTACTAACGCTTCAACCACTGGTGTACGATCGTTAAGCAGAGCTGGATCGAATATTGGCACACCTAAAATTTCAAACATAGGTTCGGGCATCCCGAATCGTGTTCGTAACAGTAACGCTGAAAAAAATGGATCTACAGCACGTCCTGTTTCACAATTGCAATCTCCCTCTCCGTCTAGTTCGAATGGTTTGTCACGGACGCCAAGTAGAGCTGGTTTGGCCAAGTCTCCGGGTCCTGCAACTTCCGTACGATCACTAAGTAGGCTTGGTGGAAACACCGCTGAGACTCCTAAACAAAATACTATAAAAAAAATTCGACATCAATCTCATATTGTTAATGGTCAACCTTCCAATGATAGTTATTCCACGTTTAGTCCAAATGCTGCTTCTGGTATTAGATCACCGTCTGGTTTAAGAGGTTCTACAATTACTCGTATTGGTAGTCGTCAAAGTTCCGATAGCCTATCCTCTCCCGACGATTATGTTATATTTACCCCTCCAGAGTCACCTACAAATGCTTCAGAAACAGATTCTCTCACTTCCTTAACAAGTTCTGTTTCTTACGGTTCTTCACCTGGCAGAGGTACATCTCCAATACCTACTTATAATTCTGCGTCAATGATTACTTCTCCAACTAGAATTTCATCAAAATCAAGCAACCGAACATCAATGATAAAACCTCCTGGTGTAAGTAAACTTTCTTATACCAGAAATACTCATGCAACTCCTGGCAATAAGGATTCTAGCCGATAACTAAAAAATTGGCTAAGGTGATTTTTCGACCTGTTTGTCGATTTTATATGTAAAGAATAAAATGCACAATGCAATATATATGTTATAGGTGGATATGGAACATCTGTAGACTCTTAATTAACTTCAGTTGATTTCAGATCTTAAAAAACTGAATGGTAACTGTGACGAAATTTTATGCAACTATAAAAAATGTTTTAAAGAATTGTATTAATAATTATGAAATATATTTAAATCGATCGTATTTTATTAATTATTGTATTCTGCAATATTCTCAAATCAAAAATGTTAACCTGAGAATATCGATTATTTCGAGACAAGTTTTAATGATTTTAATGAATAAATATCTTCAGTTAAAGGAAAATTTTTAAAGAGGAATCGAAAAATAAAACTTTTATCTCGCAAAACTATATATTTATTACATGAAGCCAGTAATAATTTACTCCAAAAAGTTTGAATAATTTGGTAAAATAAAGTTATCAATGTATGCAAAGCACATCATCTGTAACTGGTACAAAATGCAAAAATAATAGTCTAGATATTACACTCTTTTATCCTAAAATTTCGGTATAAAATATACTTTGCATTAACCTTAAATCTAACTCTAACATTAATCCTAATATTATTAATTAAAGTATATGAAAATAAATTTTGAGTTAGCCTTAGAGGCTATAGAAATAAATAATCACTTAACGTTTAAAATTTTATTCCCGTCATTTTTGGGTTTGCCAACTATAATTAGCTATTTCTTTTTTAGGAGTTTTTGTATTACTCGTAACTTTCCGCCTATTGTTTATTTTAGTTAAAAAAAATAAAAATAAAAATTGATATATTATATATGAGTTCCGCCAAGAGAAAACCTAGTAATTAGGCCATACAAAGTTAATGACTTGGTTTTCATAACATGAAATTTTAAATCTGCCAGCATTTATTATTATGAAAAAAAAAAAAAAAAGCCGTAGGGTTGTAATAACTTACAATGTAACTAACCTCATGCAAGTTACAAATATATAATAGGAAAGCAGGCCAGAATAAATTTAGCCAGCATTAGGATGAAGTTTTTGATATTATATAAATCCGAATTTTTCCGAGTAGACGATTAAATGTAACTTATCAGTTATAACTTACGGCTTAAATTACGGCTAAAATTTTGGATAATATCCGTATTCTTCCGAAATATAAAAATTTATATAACTTACTTTACATTGTAACTTACATAATTTAAAACGTAACTTACATTTTAAAAATAATTGCGTAAAGTTATACAACCCTACGTAGTCGTGAGGGTTCAATTTTAGCATTATTAATAATATTGTTTTATCAATACGCTCGATCGAATGCTTGTTCAACTTATTTGGTGTTTGATTTGCACGAAAAAGACCGTTCTTAACCAATAAATATTAACAAGAAATATAAAAAAGGCTCGGGATATAACAAGATAATAGACATAAAACTCAAATTATTGTCGAAATGTTAAAAAATTTTTAATTTTTAATACTGTTAAATACTTATAAATTATATATAATATATTTTAATTAAGTCTTAATAGGGCGTCCTTTTTGCACGACCTGGTCAGGTGAAAATTATTGATTTTTTATAGCGATAACGATAACAATAGTCAGGTTTTACCTTTCTGCAGCGAGACACTTCGGTAATTATCTTTTATAAACAATTTCTATATAATGTATTTAGAATAAGAAAATTACGCAAATAAAATTTTATTTTCACATATTCGTGTTTATTATAATGTGAACATATCAATTGTATTTTATTTTAAGATACTATCAATACGTACGCAAAAAAAATTTAGGACTTTAATGTTAATACTAATACACAATATGATTTTAAAAAGCAAATATTTATTTTCACATACTTATACATAGTAAACTATCAATATTTTTCATAGTTATAGACCTAAAGACAAATTCAGAAATGATTTGTAAATATGTATAGAATACAATAATTTTTTTTCTTTTTTTTACTTTTAAAGTGATTTCTTTGCCAGAAGTATTTTATTAATTTGAATATAGAATTACACATAGGTAATTTCTGCTATTGTGATTATATAAAGAGTATACAACTAGTCACATATATAATTTTAGTTATTGTTTATTTAAGTAGTTTTCTATACAGATATTAGATTATTTAAGTAGTTCTATACAAGCTGCTATACTTGTAATTTGCTTGTGAGCTATTTATTTAAATATTTTGTTTAACAAATTTATTATAGTTCTAAACTAATCTTATTACAATATCTAATTATTTAAACTAGCTAGCTTATTATAGATCATCTATAAATTAGCTTAGATCTTTTTAAATTATATTATATTTAACATATTGTAAATATTTGCAAAGCTAGTTAATCTTATAAGCAAATCTACTAGTATAACTTATATTTATTTTATAAGTTTATTTAAATTAGATTCTTGTAATATTTGTATAAATTTAATTATTGTTATAGTTTTTTTACTAAATTAGTTTTCTATATTTCTAAATATTTAATAAAACAAATTTTCTTAAATCTAGTTAGCTAACAAGTCAAATTAGTTTTGTAATTTTTTTTTTTATAAATAGATTTATTTATATCTAATATAATTTGTATTTTTTTGTATATAAACTTTTTTGTTAAATTAAATATACAAGTCAAATTAGTTTTGTAATTTTTTTTTTTATAAATAGATTTATTTATATCTAATATAATTTGTATTTTTTTGTATATAAACTTTTTTGTTAAATTAAATATTAACTAGCATAACTATTAAAATTTATACTATTTTATCTAACTTAGAATTTTTACTATACAGATCTTCTATTTATAAATTCTATTAAGAAAAGTCTGATGATCTTAGTATAGTAGTTAGATTGTCAGACTACTATATAAGAGATCTGGAGTTCAAATCCTATTGTTGATAAATTTGAATAATTACTCAAATATTTGTATCTAACTTATAGTAAACTCTGTTTGTTTCTAGAGTTATAACTCTATAAATCATGTTATACTAATATTAATTAGATATTAGAAGAGTAATATAGCATCAAATATGATTAAATATTAAGTATAATATATTATTATATAAATAAATTTTAATAGAATCTATAAGTAGAGAATCTATATAGTAGAAATTCTAAATTAGATAATATAGTATAAATTTTAATAATTATATTAGTTCAATACTAATTCAGAAAAAAAGTTTAGATATGAAAGATATAAATTAAGTAAGTACAAGTAAATTATTATATGAGATTATATAGTAATACCAACTTGGCTTAGTAGCTAACTAAATTTAGGAGAATCTATCTTATGAAATATTCAGAAGAACTTAGAAGACTAATTTAGTAGAGAATTATAGCTAGAATTAGATTTGTATAAATACTAATAAGAATATATACTAGTTTAATTAGAATATAGTATAGTATAGTTAGATTATCTGCAAGCCTTTATTAAAATAAGACTATGAAGATACCTTGTAATAAAGCTTAGTCCTATAAAGATAATTTGAGGCACAAGTTAGTCTGAGTAATCTTCAAAATAAAGTAGTACAAAATTAGTATAGATAATAAATATTAAGTTAAATATAGAGTTTTATAATAATACCAGAAAGTTTAAATAGAGTATCAAGATCTATATACACTCTTTCTTAACCACATAAAGTTAGGTCTGAGAGTAAAAACTTTTTACAAAATATCTAATACTAAAGAAACTAAAACTATTTTTTTT